TAGATAGATAGATAGATAGATAGATAGATAGATAGATAGATATGATAGATATGACTCCAAGAGTCTATACTTTCATGAAAAGCATTCACTGTCACTAACATCTTGACACACCCTTGATTTTCAGTTCTTTAACTTCTACTTGCATATATTTTTTGGCAGTTTTTATGGTTTGTTTAGCACACATAAAACGTGCAAACAAGCTTTCTATTTCTTTTCTTCGGTGCACAGCCTGGCATTGAGACTGGTGCCTCTAATGACAAGCCGGGCTGCTCTTTTCGCAATGGCTTTGTGATTCTTGGAGGAAACACTGTGCAATCCCAGCACAAGAAGATTTGTGGCACATCAGCAGCACCTCCAGCTCCTTAACATTGTGGACCAGGAATTCACAGAAGTCACTGGGCAACATGTGCTTTGTCTTCTTGTTGCTCCTGTAACCAATGTGGGGCATCAAGATCTGACCCTTAAGTCTTCTCTGAACCCTGTTGCCAATGCCACTGGGCTTGCACCAATTATGCTTAATTTTGATATCATGGTCTGACAGGTGGTGGATGAACTTCTTGGTCCTCTTTCTAATGATCTTTGGCTTCACCAGGGGTCTGAGGGCAGATGACTGCCCCCTCTGTAGAAAGCACCGAAGGAGAGAGCTACTTGCATAGTTTTAAAATCGTTCTACGCATGGCTGTATCAACTCCTGCTACATTCCTAATTCAATTGTTTTGCACTCCAAAGTGTCAGCTTTATTTGAGTCTGGTCTGATGGCTCAATTTTTAAAAGAACAAACTTTTAAGGTACACTTTTAAACCAAGAAAAGCATTGCTTAATGTCTTCCTAAGCCTGTTTTATACCTGTTTTCAGCTGGCTGCAAAAAGATTGCACAACGGACAAACTGTTTTCCCTTTGTGAGAAATCCTAAGAGACATTACTGCAGCTCCCTCAAATAGCTGTTATCTCAGGATTACCCGGCTGACTCTTTGGTGGAGAACATTTTCTTAGAACAGCATGCCTCTTGCTTGATCAATACAGAATTTAAGTTCTGCATAAGTCATTCTGTTTTCCAGGGAGTTAAGCCCGAACATTATTGAATGATCTGGAGACTTTGTAGTGACAGTGCTCTTCCATTATTGCCTCCTCACATTCTCCTCACCCCTGTGTTGGCTTTCGTGTAAGCACTGCCCACGTGAGTGTGGTCCAGACACCATGGTTAGAAACATTTTAGGTGACAAAAGATAAAAGAGGTGCTACTTACTGTTTGGACGATGAAGAGCACAGTTCCACACAGGCGAATGAATTTGTTAAATCGAAGTTCCAAATACTGTTTTCAAAGAAGGGGGGAGGGGAAATATAGTCAGTATGTGTCATTTCTATGTACTTCGCCTCCTCCCCACCCCTCCATCATCTATAAAATGCAAAGGCCTAAGGAAGGGCCAGCCTGGATTTTTGGATTTTAAAAGTTAGCAGTGAACACATATTAAAACCACTAAAATAGAAATCTTTAGGATTTTTTAATAGTTATTGTTGTTGTTGTTGTTGTTATGTGCCGTTGAGTCAGTCACTTGCGATTCATAGCGACCCTATGTACAACAGCCCTAAACTCTGCTCTATCCTGTGCCAATCGCACTGTCTCTGACACTCCCATCCCGATTACCCCAGTCACTGAAT